CCCCTTAGGTCGGGCATGTATGTGGTCTCTTCAGTGGACTCTACACAACCAATGGAATCTTACTTGGGATCCCTTGGATTCTCCCATTACCCTTCCTCCTTCCCTTGTCAATGATCTGTGTTAGAGGTTGTACAGGGCCCACACATCATTGGGTGTACTGCTTCCTCCTCCTCGCACAGATTCGCATCTCTTCACCGATGCTTCCCTACATGGTTTAGGGGTATAGGCTTCCAGACAATGGTCTACAACTGAGCAATCTTACCATATCAACATCTTGGAATCAACTTGTTCTGATCCATTCTGATATTTTACAGTGGTAGCTTATATTCCCTTTGCAGTCAAACTTTAGATCTACTTTTTTGGGTCCTCACACTTGGGATAAGTAATGAAGATGAAATTGGTTGATAAAACATTTTATTTACAAGGCTCAAATGTTTCGGAATAATTTATTCCTTCTTCAACGAAATCTGAAAATTGTGTCGCAAAGGTGATTATTACTAAAATTATAATAAAATAATATAATCATTAGTTTACTTAGTTATTAAGAAAAATGGATGGATGAAACAATGTTTATATATATATGTTACATTCAAGCTGAGTTAAATATGAAAATTTAGAACAATTTTAGATCTAAAGAGCTTTGTGAGTTGTTAAGGGTTGGGCAGTCTTTTGCTATGAGCAGACTTTCTTTAATATAGAGCTCAAGGTCTGAAGATCCTGTGGTGATGATAGAGAAATCTTTAAATGAAATATTGTGACCTGTGGGTTCAGAATGTGAGTGATTGTATGAGTGGCTTGGTTTAAGTGGTGGATGGCTGGTTTTGTTAGATACTCCTAAAAGTTCACAGATTCGAGTTTTTAAGTGGCATTTCCTTTTGCTAATGTACGTGACCTTACAGTCGCTACACATATATTTATACACAAGCCATGAACATAGAAGTTTAGGTACTTGATCTTTGCACTGAAATATGTGTTTAATGTGGAGGCTAGGTCTGTATATTATTCTAAGCTGAATTTGAGGATAGAAGTTTTTATTAGGGAAGAGAGTTGTTTTTTAATTGCGATCCCATGCAAGAAACAGAGATAATGAGGGGAAATTTAGAGACAGTGTGTACATTGGCTAGTGGTTGGATTTTATTGTTTAGGAAATTGCATGTAATCTTCATTAGAAATCAATCAGATAGCCATTATTTAACTTGTTTATGTAGAAGGGTAATTTCTTCGTGTAAAATGATATAATTAGAACAAAGATTAAAAATTCTGTTCAACAATGAAATAACCAGATTATGTTTGAAGCAGTTGGGAATAAAACTATTGAAATTGGTGTAGAGACCAGTAAAGGTTTTTTTATGATAAACACAGGCAGAAAAGTGTTTCCCTTCTTTGGTAATACTGACGTCTAGGAAAAGTAAAGAATAATTTTCCCCTAGTTTGGATTTGAACTTGATATTTGTTTCATTACTGTGCCTGTTCCAGACTATATTAACTTGTGGACTTAACTGGTAAAGCAGAAGGGAATAGCTGCCCATCCCTACCATCCCTTTGATCAAATAAATCAGGGGTGGTCTGCTTTTCAAAATTACACTGTCTCTGGTATCCCTGGTGCTACTTTCCAGTTCCAAGCCATTGGGGTGGTGGACCATAGAGATTTCCTCCTGAATGTGATGTAATGCTAATAAATAAATAAATATATAACATCCATTCAGTTGAGAGTAGGACAGTGGCATTCTTCTGGTGTAGATGATGCTGGTCTTCCATTCATGTGATCCATCTCTATATGGTGGACTGTGAGGGTTGACAATGTGCCTGTCTTCTGTGAATATATCCATAGGATGCAGTTGGATATCATTTATAGAGTAGAGGCAATCCACTTCCATGTGGTGGTACCCCAAAGTTCACGATGCACTTCAACATTGTACAGTCCTGTCTGAGTGGTTGAGGTTGCCCATGTACAATATTAAATGAACTTCATCTTTGTACAGTGGGCTCTGATGATTGATGTTGCACCCAGTTTTTGTGACTATCGTGTTGGTGAGGTTGTGTATCATTTATAAGGGCACTCCACTTCCATGAGGTGGAACCTGGAAGTTCACAGTGAGCTCCAATGCTGTACGGTCCTGTTCAAAAGGATGATGTTATGCAAGTCTACTAATATATATACTCCATCTCTGTATGGTGGGCTCCAAGAGTTGTTGTTGTACCTATCTTCTATGACTCTGGAGGGTTCAGTTCCATATAATACATTCCAATGCTGTATGGTCCTGTCCGAGGAGATGATGTTACGTTTGAGTAGATCCGTCACATTGCAGTTCATCCCTTCAATTGGGATCCCTGTTGACTGGTTTTGGATTTAGAGCTTGACCAATCAACATAAATCCTCACACATGTTGCCTGTGTTTTTTCTGTTCCTCACTCCATTTGCCTCATGATAACACAAAACAAGGGAGATAACGTTGAAAGGAGGCAATGGTTCTCCCTCTGGAGCTTCACCTCAAGGAATTTTTGTGGCCTGAGGCTGATTTTGTGCAGTGCAAGCGTATCAGATTGATTTGGTATATGATGTGACATCCCCCAGGGGCTCATCTTTTACTGCCATCATTTCCTGGATGTATGGTTAGTTGTGGATGGTGCACAAGTGCCCATTTTGTAGATTGGTTTACACAGTATATACTTGCGTTCTACTGCACTTGCGGTGAAGACAGTGTAAACTCTTCTCCTACCACCCTCACCCTTCCTCCCTACTGAAACCCTGTGCTTCTTCTGCCTGAATTTGAAGTGATAGCTCAGTATCATCGATTAGAGGGAATCACATACGTCATGAGGGTGTTGCAATCCTATTGGTGGAGGGTTGTTGCATGATGATTTGCATGTGAGATGCAGTTGAACTACCATAATCATTTTGTATGTGGGAGTGTGAGGCTTGTGGAATGCAAAACTTTTTTTGCATATAGAGGGCAGCACATTTGTGAAAGGAGGTAAGTGCCTGTCGGAAATATATTTTCAGTATAAGAAAATTATAACTTCTGAATTATTCGGCAGACAAGCTATTTAAAATAATAAAAGCAAATATGAAGTACAACCTGTCATTTGATTCACTACTTGTATTACTCAGTGACAGGTGGTAAATCAAATATCTTGGGCATCATATTTATTGTTCAAATAGGTTTTAAAGCAGAAAATTTATGTGATAAAATTTAAATCATTAAAGGGAGTGAGTTACTTGAAAATATGAATTTAAGATGCAAGTTGAAATATTCCTTGGACACTGTCATAAAGAAGCTGGAACAGTTTTAAATACTCACTACTATATAATTTAGAATTTTTGGTTGATGGATAATGGACATATTTTATAGTGACTGTGAAGCAAAAAGTAAAAAAGATCTATTGGCTTACTGTTGCTGGTAATTATTTATGAAAAGATTATTGTTTGATGAAATAGCGAGACAGTACAATACAAAATCTTTCTGGGTTAATTTTTACATGTAGGATCCCAGATTTAAAAAAATATGAGCGTAATGTTTGAAGCAATGGTCAGCAGATCTCTCTACAAAATGACTTGCACTCTGTTGCTAGTTAGTGGTATTTTATAAACATAAATGAGTAACAGGTAAAACAAGTTAATCGAGAAACTCCTTGAAAAGGAAGTCAGTCTTAATTGTAACTGATTTTGCTAAAATTTATGAAACTAATAATGCTTGGAGATGGCTTGAATGGGTAATGAAGAAAAACTTTAATATAAGTTTAACATAACAGCAAATGTATAACATTTCGACAAGGTTTTGTCATCATCAGATTGTAAGTTGTTGGTTGAAATATGGATTTATTTATGTTAAGATCATGGGATGTAGACATTTCAAACCTGTACTTGGTCCTGACAGTATCCTTGAATAATTATTAAGTACAAGTGGGGAATTCTGAATCTTACTATATAATGTTATAGCTCTAGGACTGAGGTTACTGAATTTTTTTTATGTAATATAGTGTTTGAGTTAAAACTGGTAAAGAACACCTTCCAGTAAAAATGTACTTTTGAAGGATTCAAAATTTGGTCATCGTTAATTGAGATAAAATATCTTTCAATATTGTGACCTACATATTTTATTATTTACATGGATATTCTTTTGACTGCAGAATTTTCTATCTACAAAAAAAAAAAAAAAAAAAAGGTAGAACATACCAAATGATCCTAAATCTGATTTTAGTTAAAAAAAATAATTCAAGTGTTAGAAAAATAGATTATTTTAACAAAATTATATTTACATACCAACAGAGTTTAAATATTTGAAACTTGGTGTAGGAAGTGACAGAAAATTGTGTTCCATGAACTTGAAGCTCACTTTCTATTATGAAGTGTTTCTATTGGTTGTATTACTCATTTATTTATGCTACTGTGAACAGGAAAGTCTTATTGTGATTTCCAGTGTATTTTGATTTAAAGTTTTAAAGGTAAAATTCTTTCTAAGAAAATGACTTTGATTGATATTGTATTTTATTGAGCAGGATCCAGAGTCACTTCATTTGAAATTCATTAATGACTGCTATGGTCGTTTAGAGGTAAGTGCTTGACCCTACTTGTCTTTTAAGACATATTTGCATTTTTGTTTTTATTTAATATTTAAAGGAAACGAGGGGTAAACTTTTAAATTTATTTTAGTTGGTAAACTGTGCATTGATGTATTTGATTTTGAAACTGTTAAACCAATATAGCTGTCACTAAAAAGGTTTTCTGATTGCTTTTGCTTCCTGTAACCAGACAAAAAAAAGTTTGTTTTGTGTTCTATATTTTATGTTTTAATCTGTCAATTCACATACTTTTTATTACGTTATTTTCTGTACGAAGAATTGTCTCTTTTGCTTCCAGCTCAAACTTTATTCACATTGAAAACACATCAACAAGCTTAGCTGAAATTTTAACAGCATACTTAGAAAGCCAGAAAAATTGTAATAATTATAGAACCTTTTCTGCTTTTTATATGTTATTATTCTGTATTCTTAGATGCTCTATTTAAGTAAATAAAAAATTATTTATTGTAATAGTACCATTCGTATTAAAAAGTAGGGTTAAGTTTCATTAACAGTCAACAGCAATAAAAAGTAGATCCAGGTAAGTACTTTATTTCTTGTTTTTCGTGTGTATTCTTTATTTATTATTATCAAAGTAATTAAAATGTAAAACTTAGAAACTTATTAGGTTAGATTAGGTAAGATGAATAAAAAGTAGCTCAATAGCGTAATGTTCGATGAGTGATTTATTACTTTTGTGGTGGGATTATTAGTTAGACACAGTTCATAGGGTACTAAAACAATAAAATTGAAATAGAAACACATATATACTTTTATGAGCTTTAAACTATTTAGAATAAACAGATGTAGTTTCCTGTTACAATGTGAAATTATTCTAGAAAGAAAAACGGGTAATTTAGATATATTACATATATTTTTTTCTGGTGTTTATGAGTCCGGTCAAATTGACTCACCTCATATAGAGTTAGGGTAGAGAAAAAACAGATAAAATATAGTTTTACTGCAAAAAAATGTATGAAATTTACTTTTGTGGTTTTAAAGATTATGCAAATGAAATTTGACAGTTTTTCAGATGAAAATCATTTTGCACTGAGAGAATTCAACACTTTGACTTCATATATTCACTGTGAAATTTTTAGTAAAACTACTTTATTAAAAAAAATTTTTTTTTTTTTCTATAAAAGGCTAATAATGTTTACTGAAAGCTTGTGAAATTTTGTGAAGATACACAAAGCTTTTAGATTTTGTTGTATGGAAACACTAAAGGTTAGTTTGGAGTCATGAACTTGGCCGAATTGAATGGGCCTGTAGTGAGTGAGTTAAGTTGTGGCCTCTGGTTATGAATGAGCAAACTTTTATATTTAGGATCTATTCATTATTGACCTTAGTGAAATTCTTAAATTCATTAGAATAGACAACTTTGTCACAGTCATCTAAGGCATGTTCCAGTTCAACTCGGTTTGTTTCTTGTCATTGAATTTGTTTGTGCTCTTACAATCGTCTACAAATATCTCATGCATAGTAGATCCAATGTAACCTTGTTTGCAACAAGGATAAGTAAACTGATAACTCACATTTGATGTCTTCATTGATGATATTCTGGTTTCGTTGAATGTATTTGCAAAATATAATTAACAAGTATTTTTAAGTCAAGATATTGTTTGAAGTATTTTCCAGATATAGTAATCAAATATATTGAAGTTAACTTTAAACATTTTCTGGCTGGTATTTCAGCTTTGGAAGTTATATCAATACAAGCAAAAGTACCTGTCCCCAGTGACAGGGAAAGTTGAAGTTAATTTATCAATTTAAATTATTTCATGGACTTTAAAAAGGTTGTGTTGTACTCTCGGTTTTACTCTCAGCCAAAGCTCTGAGCTACTTATACCACCCACTGTGAAAGTAATTGTTGAGCATTTCGGTCACGCCAAGAGCCACTCAACAATAACACACGGCAAATCTACACTTTTATTCTTTAACTTACGTCACATTTTGAAATGTGAATGTGATAATTCTTAACAATTTAATGTAGAATATCCTACTTGCAAAATAAAGTTTGGCATCAACACTGTTCATGCCTGTTCTCCCTTCATTTAAAAAATTAATGTTGAGCTTTTTAAATGTGGGATAGACAAACGCTTAGACAGACACCTTGGTTCGCAATATATATATATATATAACATTGTTCAAGGAATACTTCATCAACATCGTAATTCATCATGCATGTAAATTATCAAGCATTTAAAATTTCTTACATAATGAATTTGATAACATTAAAAGATTTTTATGTAAGAATTGTTTTTCATATATAGTAGGTAGGTAGAATAATACTTGACTTTTGCAGACATGTACAAATGTCATGTAATTTTAAAAACACCATATAGACAGGGTGCCTTGAAGCATGCCTTAGGTGAGTGTGATATAGTTATTCATTCAAATAGTTCTCAAATTTTAATTAATCCTAATGATGAACAAAAAAAAACATTTCTCATTTATAAAGTATGTAATGTATTATAACCCGCTTTATATAAGGGTGACATTGTCTTCCCTTTGGATAATTTTAAGATACTAATTAATACCAATGGCAAACAGAACCTCCATTTAAAACAGATCTTCCTTATTCAAAAGGAAAGGTCACAGCTTAATCAAGTCAGTATATGATTTGTTGTGAAATATAATCTGTCTGTATACCTATAGTTAATGTGAACTGATAGTCATGATAATGTTTTCTACTTGTCACAAGATCTTCATCCTCTGCATGATGTATGTGAAATAACCGTTAACGTACATGTGTGTATGTTCTTTGTTGTTTATTATTTTAGTCAGAAGTATCTGCTGTTAGTGGAACAGCTATGTCAACAGCTGTTTCGAATGCAACCAAAACTCTGACAGCAATGTCTGTGACTTCGGTGGCCTCTCTTACACTTCCCACGAGGTTTGTAAAAAGAATTTATTTTTACACGTATTCCCCACATTGTTTCTTCATAGTTTTTATGTAAATTATATTTAATGCCACCTGATTTATTATATTTCCACAAAAGTGTTAATAAAACTACCAAGTGGTTTTTATGTCACAGTCTAGAAAAAAAAGTTTCAACTAAATTTGCACATTTAAGATGGAAATGTAATTTCTATTTTTTTTTCAGTTTTTCAAAACCATGAATGTAATTTGTCTTAAAATAGTTCAAGTACATCTCCTAATGTTTATTATTAAATGTTTTTCATGAGTGGTATTTTATGTGTTTTCTATATTTATTTAGTCGTGCAAATAATAAGCAGTTTGGTTTTAAACTTGGTGTACATGCTTTCCCTCATTTTTTGTATTACAGATGAGAAACAAGTTTATAATATAACAAAATAATTGTAAGTACTTAGACTGTATTGTTGAAAATAAGATGTGTATCTTTTCATCAAGTCAAATGAGTTAATGCACATACAGATGTTCTAAGTTGTTTAATAATAACTGTTATTTATTAATGGTATTAACCCTATAAGACCTGACACCATTTTTCAATTCTTTTCTGTGCATCTTACTGCATTACATCCAAAATTTATTAAGCCACTTTACTATCAGTGTATTTTATCAAGTACATTATAATTCAAAATTCTACAGAATGTCCGTAAAGTCTGGAATCAATGTAAACATATTTTATTTAAAGACATAGTTACAATATCTGTTCAAAATGCCAAGTTGAAAACATTTGTAAATGATACAGCATGACTGAGATATTGGATATCTACCCAGATGATTTTTATTGAACTGTTTCTCTCTTTGTCCATCCTAGATGCCCACACAACAGGATAATTTCAACATGTTCTTGTAAGATTAACGACATGATTATTACGTATGGGCAGTACAAACCTGCAACAAAAAGAATAAAACATAAAATTAATAAAACAATGTTTCAAATAAAATGTTTATATTGATTCCAGACTTTATGGACACCCTGTATATTATCTAAGTTTTTATTCCTTTCAAAAGAAACCTTTAAAACAATAATTTAAAACTCTGCTTTTTCTTTTCACATAAAGTTTGCAGTTACAACCATCAACTTTCAGAGTTGAAGAAAATGTATGTGTAATGTAGGTGTTCTTGCTGAGACATTGAACCTACAGTGTATACAGGTTGTTTACAAGTAATTTGAGAACATTCCAAGAACTTGTCCTGGAGATAACTGTTGTAAAATCTCCTCAGTTCAAGATAAACTACACCCACTTGCAAAGTAGATGCTGTGTTGCTAAGCAACAGTTTTAAGTTGAATGCCATGCTTATTCCCAATAAAAAGAGCCAATTTCATTCTGTATTTTGTAACCAGGTTAGGAAAGTTAACTGATGTTTGTGTTGTCCTGGAGATAACTGTTGTAAAATCTCCTCAGTTCAAGATAAGCAACACCCACTTGCAAAGTAGATGCTGTGTTGCTAAGCAATAGTTTTAAGTTGAATGCTATGCTTATTCCCAATAAAAAGAGCCAATTTTATTCTTTATTTTGTAACCAGGTTAGGAAAGTTAATTGATGTTTGTGTTTTACAGAGAAGGTTGGAAAAAGCTTTGTCTATTGTTGAGAGTGGTGCCCCTGGTACTTGGCTATTTTTTCTCACCATATACATATTAGTTCGATAAACTGTGAAATTGAATTTAAGTTTTACTTTTATGTTTTAGTTAATTATGAATTATTTGTGTTTTAAAATTCGTATTTGAAAGGTTAAATGATTATTTAAGTTTTTCTACTTGTTGCTTTACTGGTCATGGGTTATGAAAAGTGGCAAGGACAAATATTGTGCCACAGGCAAAAGCGGGCTCTCTACTGGTCATAATATTATATCGCCTGCGGGGACCCATTGAAGTGTGTCGACATAAATGAAAAAGATAAAAAATTGGAAAGGAAAATAAAAAATTTGTCAAAAGAACTAAGGACTTGAAATTATACATATGATCCAAAAAAATATTTTAAGATCATTCAAGTAAGAGATAAAAGGTAAGTACATATTTCCATTTCTTAACATTTAATTGCACTGTACATCGTGATAATAGCTAGAGTTAGTGATATGGTAGAGAAAACGAAAAATAAAGTAACCATTTACCTGAAAAAACTTGTGATATTCATTTAGTAGGTTCTAGAGGTTATGTAAGTGAAATGTAAAAGCTGTAAAATAATAATCAGTATTTTTATACTCAACATGAAAATCACCTTGTAGGTGAACTATTCAAGAGTCCAAATGAAAATAACTACATTAACCCTTTTGCCACGAGTATCCTATACTGAGCATGACACAAGGTTTTAGTGTCTTACATTCAAAATCTTATTAAACTACTTTGTGTTTATGTTATACCAATTAGAATAGCATAAAATTTTAGCTAATAATCCATATTTTAATAGTATACAAGTTTTAAGTTCTTATTTCTACGAGGCAATATTCTGATATCCAGTATTATGTTGATTGTGAAAATTGGATGATAATTAATAATACTGGAATGAAAAAAGGTTCTACTTGTATTCTGTGGCAGAAGGCTGTGATTGTGTTGTTTAATGATTTTCTAATTTTATATCTAATATTAATGTGAGTTTGTAGTGCATTCACATTATTTGTGCACATTAGACTTTTATTTACTTTTATAAAACTAAAGTTATTTCTAGAATATGTTATTATTGAGACTTCTTTCTTTATACACAATTCAGTTTCTGAATATTAATGTTTATAGTGTTAATACTCAAAATGTTGTTTTTATTGATTTTACACAGAACAGCCAGGCTCCAAAATATTCGTCGCCTTTTGCAACTTGCTATCAGATATGTATCTTCCATAGAAGAGCTTCATACTGCTCCTCGTAGCATTTTACCACATGGAGCATTCTATATTGGGTATCCATTATTTCTTCGAGTGGTTCTGGAGTCGGTAAAGGATGAAAAGTCTTTTTCAGTGAGTCGTTGCAATTTAAAAATAGAGAAAGTAAATAATATATACTTAATATATTACTAATATAAATTAGTATAATTGTTATACTACCCATTACAATGAATTTACATATGATATTTACATATGTGGAATTGTAACAGGTACTGTAACATGTCTTCAGAATCACATTCAGTGTATTGTTGTTTCTTTGTAATTACTTTTCATTAAGAATAAACCTTCCTCATTTCTGACACTTTTATGGCAATGCTTGGAAAATTTTTTTACATTTTATTTCTTCTCACAGGAAAAACATTTGAATCTAAAAACCAAAGAATATGTTTTGTAATTTATTTAAGTAAAAATATTTGGTATTCATATTATATTGGGAAAGAATTGAGATTGTGTCATGGATCTGTCTTTCTGGCACATCTTTTTTTTTAACACAGCTACATACGAGTAATTGGGATAAAATGACAAAGTAGTTCATTCAGTCACTAACACGAGTGTTAGAATAATTGTTTTTGTAAAATTAGTATTTTAATTGAAATATTAAAAAATACTTTTGAATATAACATTCTATGAAAAAATTTAAAATATCATTTACTTTCTTCAGTGTATTGGTTGGAGCACTAGGAGAAGAAAATTTAAATATTAACTAACTGGTTTGTTAAAAGTTTTTTCTTGCATCATAGTGCTTGCTACAGACTTGATTTCATGATGGTCATTATTAGAATATAATTGAATCTTTGTACCTCTTGATTGATATACTCATTCTATTTGAAATTATGTCTATAGACTTTAAATATTCAAATTGAAGTGCATTTTTACACAAATGTAATAAATGCAGACTTAATGATATTTTACATAATTAAGTCAAAACTATGATTTTATTCTGTTTGCTGAATATTATTGTGAATTTTATTAAAGTATTTTAATATTTTTAGTTTTATAATAATTTCTCAGAGATGTTAAGTCAGTCTGCTGTTGATTGATAATTTATTGTAATACTCCTATTCAGCTTCAGAGTCATAGCAATGAGACCTTGGGCTCAATAAGGCAGAGAATTAGCCAAATGGTGAAACAAATCCCTGATCAGTTGCAGCTCTATGTTGGAGATAATGTAGTAAGTTATTATTTGAAACTATGTAAATTAAAAGCAGCTGTTATACAGCACATTTTGTAAACATCTGTAGTTGTTATTTAGACTTTTTTTACAAATAAAGCATTTGGAACTGGCATGTTAATATTTTTCTATGAAAAAAGTGTCAATTATAAATAACTGAAAATACTAATTCAAGAAAAATAAATTAGTTTTATATTATTTATATGTGTTCTTCCTTCCTTTTTAGAAGGTACAACCTTTCGAAAGCAGCAAGTAAACAGAGGGTTTCAATAATATATATTACATGCAAAATTATTTAATGGTACTACCATTTCAGTCAAATATTCTCTGTAATTATTTTAAGAAAATGTATTATGACTTGATTTTAAGATAACAGTTTGTATGGGAACTAAATAAAACCACAAGTATTAATAAATAATTGTATTAAATTTGTAAAAACTGTTGAATAACATCATTTCTAAAATGTACTTTAATGTATTGTTCAGCTTGCTGTTACTAAGGATCAGAAACTACTAGGTCAATTAGAAATAGAGGAAGGGCAAGTTATTTCAGTGAAGTTCACAACAAGTTCTTCTGCATCCTTAGTCATTCAGGGATCACAGGTTAAGTGGACTTTTGTATGCTGTTGATATGCAGGTGTGAACCTGACACACACACACAAAAAAAAAAGTTGTGCTGGGGTCCAGATAACTTTAATCACATTTTCTTTTAAGAAACAAACATTATGAAATAAAAGACAAGATACATAAGAATCTTGAAAGGTTTTTCCAACTTTAATAGCTTAATACTACTACCCATTCATTATGTACAATTAAATTTTTAATTCTTTAATAAGCTAAAATAACTTTAAAACCAATAAGACCATCTTTCTTTGAAAGTGAGTTGAGAAAAATACCTAATCGTACTGTTCTCGCTTTAATTCACTAAAAATATTTACATAAAAAAAATCAAGCAATTATTTGTATATAAATATGTTTGCAATTTCCCAACTCAATGTACAACTCCTAGTTAACTAAATAACATTAAAAAAATTTCAAAATTTAAGGAAAAATATTATTTTCAACTAAATTTCAAGAAAATTTTAAGTACAAAATATTGTAGGATTGATATTTTGTTATTTTGTAACAATTAGTTGTAACTTGCAAAGAAAATTTTGAATTTACATTTCTGTGTAGCCCCAAGGAGTCTCATTTGTAAACAGCTTTTTAACAATTTTTCATTTTAGGTTACTAAGAAATTATTCTTCGTTGAAAATATATTTATCTATGCCTTCTTACTCACATGATTTTACTTTTCTTTTACTGATTTTGTGACTGCAGTGGTTTGTTCCTACCATTTTATAATGTCACTGCATGTAGTCTGACTGATTATTTATGGAGCACAAATTTTAATATAGCTACTGGCAAAGCTTAAATACCATTCGATAGATATTATAAAGTATTTACTTTAATCTAGAGTAAATAGATTTGTGAATCATAGTTTCTTGGGGCCCCCCAGTGGCACAGCGGTATGTCTGCGGACTTACAACGCTAGAATCTGGGTTTCGATACCCGTGGTGGGCAGAGCACAGATAGCCCATTGTGTAGCTTTGTGCTTAACTACAAACAAACATAGTTTCTTGGGAATGTGACTAGACAAAGATCCCACAGAGATGAACAAAAGAATCTGGTAGGAAGTTTAGAAAAGTTTTCAATTTTTTCAGTAGATATTATTTTTGTCTCTGAAAATGTTTTTGTATTCAATTATATCCATTTGAAAGGTGTGAAAAGTTTCTTCTATAACAAAACGTCATATAACTTTAGTTAGATTTAACGAGTGTGGTAGGTATTAGTTCCAAACGTTCCAGTGATTCAAATTTATAGTTATTGAAAATTATTTACATTTCCAGGCTTTTAGCGTGAGTACTCATATTTTTATTAAGTAATTTATTTGGACTATCACCACATTTTTTTTTTTTAGTTTTTTTAATACACAAGTTTTTGGCTCAATTACCTAAGCCTTCTAATGGTGTAAGACATTTAGTAAACAACAGGATCTAATGGAACAATTCAAATCACAAGTTGCCTAGCAACAATGAAAAAACAAGAACATGCCCTAAGTTTCTTTACAACAATAAGCCTGAAACCTAAAAAGCTAATATAAAATAATGTTACAAGGTTAAGAAACATAGCATACCATATTATTATTGTGGTTTGTTAACATAATGCTAGTAAGATAGAATCAACAGTAAAAATAGATAAATAAAGTAAGATAACAACAACAAATTTAGGTTACTTTTATAACAGCATTAGAGTCAATGTATGTTTTAATTTCTTTAATGAAAGGTAACCATTGTTTGTTTATTTGTTATGGATTTCACGCATTAGGTTTAAGTTTTGTTCCAACTTTTAACAGTTGTCAATCTGAATGATAAGGTTTTGACTAGTTCTAAAGAAAGTGTTTTATCATTAGGTTTAAGTTTTGTTTCAATTTTTAACAGTTGTCAATCTGAGTGATAAAGTTTTGACTAGTTCTGAAAAAAGTGTTTTATCATTAGGTTTAAGTTTTGTTTCAACTTTTCACAGTTGTCAATCTGAGTGTGATAAGGTTTTGACTAGTTCTAGAGAAAGTGTTTTATCATTAGGTTTAAGTTTTGTTTCAACTTTTAACAGTTGTCAATCTGAGTGATAAAGTTTTGACTAGTTCTAAAGAAAGTGTTTTATCATTAGGTTTAAGTTTTGTTCCAACTTTTAACAGTTGTCACTCTGAGTGATAAGGTTTTGACTAGTTCTAAAGAAAGTGTTTTATCATTAGGTTTAAGTTTTGTTCTAACTTTTAACAGTTGTCAATCTGAGTGATAAGGTTTTGACTAGTTCTAAAGAAAGTGTTTTATCATTAGGTTTAAGTTTTGTTCCTAACTTTTAACAGTTGTCAATCTGAGTGATAAGGTTTTGACTAGTTCTAAAGAAAGTGTTTTATCATTAGGTTTAAGTTTTGTTCTAACTTTTAACAGTTGTCAATCTGAGCGATAAGGTTTTGACTAGTTCTAAAGAAAGTGTTTTATCATTAGGTTTATGTTTTGTTCCAACTTTTAACAGCTGTCAATCTGAGTGATAAGGTTTTGACTAGTTCTAAAGAAAGTGTATTATCATTAGGTTTAAGTTTTGTTCTAACTTTTAACAGTGTACCTTACTTCGATATTATTGCTGCTACACAAGAATTTTGCCAGTCATTTAGAAGAACATGCTGCTACTGCTGTTTGTTTTAAAATCAAGGAAACCATTAAAAAATTTTAGACGTAACAAAAAAAACCCATAAAGAACATTATTCTCGAAGAACATAATGTTCTTTGCAACCTAAAACAAGATAACAATATTGTGATTTTGCCAGTGGACAAAGGGAACTCTACTGTCCTTTTGAACAAAGAGGATTATGAAAAGAAGGTAACAGATTTATTTCCTGACCCTGTATACATACTCTAAAGATCAGACCGTACTAAAAAACTCTGAAAGAACTAAACAAATTTCTTTCACAACTTATGAGAGCAGGAGAGATTATGAAAGATACATATCAATGGTTATCTTCTCATCATTGTTCTCCTCCCACCCTTTATAGTCTTCCAAAAACTCACAAGTCTGACATACTTCTACAACCTATTGTATGCTATATTGATTCCCCTATGTATAACTGTGCAAAATTTTTGTCTTAAGATTTTGAAACCTTTAGCTGAAAATTATGAATACTCCTTAAGAAACTTACAACAGTTTGTTGAGATTATTAGGGACAAAGAGGTCAATAATGATGTCAATCTTGTTAGTTTTGATGTGGTATCGCTGTTCACAAGAGTTCCTCTCTCTGATACTATTAGTATTATAAAAGATTTACTACATAAGGGTGTCTTACTTCCTGACAGAACACTAATCTCAACATAGAATATTATCAAACTTCTAGAATTAGGCTTAGAATCTAGCTATTTTCTTTGAAACTATCAGTACTTGAAAATGAAGGATGGTACTTTGATGGGCTCTCCTCTCACTCCTGTTTTTGTTGAAATTTATATGCAACATTTTGAAACTATGACCATTTCATCTCCACTACACCTTCCTCCATTAAGCTTCAATGTGTGATGTTATTTCTGTGTTATGGAAACATGAAATTTAGACAAATTTTTATTACATCTAAATAATCAACACGCTTCTATAAAATGTACCTTAGAAGTAGAGACAAGTAACTCCTTACCTTTTCTGGATGTACTACTAAACAATATAAAGAAAATAATAAATAAATATATATATAATATTAATATAATATTAATATTAATAAATATATATATATATATATATATATATATATATATAAATGTATAATGTTATGCGATTTAAGCTATTTAGTCTAAACATTTATGTTTTCCTGTTATAATTCTATTCATTCTAGAATGAAAGAGGCATAATTTATACTTATTTTCTAATTTTTTTGGTGGTTGGGAGCTCAGTCAAATCTACCGAACCCATACAGAGATTAATTACTGAAAATAACAGATAAAATATAAAGTTTTTTCTTAAGATATGTTTGATAACTATCCAGACATTATAAAGATTTCGCATGTGAAAGTTCAAAATTTTCTGATGCATAAAAGTATTTTTAATTTTAAAATGAAAATTACTTTGCATGATAGAGAGGCAACATGTGAAAAGAACTTGCATGAGAAAAACATTACTTTACAAACCTTAAGACTTAATAAAAAAAATAGATATTTTGCATATGAAAGCATTGTAATGTTTTCTGATAAACTGCCAAATTTCGTTAACATTCACTTACTAATTTAAAAGTTATAGCATGAAAACTAGAACAGCACAAAATGGTTATGAGGTTGGTCCCAGAGACCGGGCCCATGCTGAAAGAGTTAAAGAATTTCAAACCATGCATTGACACTAATGCTGTTATAAAAGTAATCAGTCATCTGATTACAGAATGTTAAGTAATGACTTGCAGTTTCAAATACTGCTGGCTGTAAACTAAATTTTATTGCTTAACTCTTTGTAATACTTACAACATCTTCTATTAAATATCTACAGTAGAATGACATGTGCTAAAAAGTCAAGCAGGGTCTTTCACCTGCGCTTCCATAATTCCTGTAAACTAAATTTTATTGCTTAACTCTTTGTAATACTTACAACATCTTCTATTAAATATCTACAGTAGAATGACATGTGCTAAAAAGTCAAGCAGGGTCTTTCACCTGCGCTTCCATAATTCCTGTAAACTAAATTTTATTGCTTAACTCTTTGTAATACTTACAACATCTTCTATTAAATATCTACAGTAGAATGACATGTGCTAAAAAGTCAAGCAGGGTCTTTCACCTGCGCTTCCATAATTCCTGTAAACTAAATTTTATTGCTTAACTCTTTGTAATATTTACAACACCTTGTATTAAATGCTTACAGTAGAATGACATGAGCTAAAAAGTCCTCTACCTGCTCTTTCATAATTCCCCAGAATGCCTTGGCACCAAAATCTCAGTAGATAATGCTTGAATCCAAGCCAGACTGTGCATATTGCCTTTTTTCTTAATGGTTGTTTGTTATCTATATTTACACCTTCTTGTGTTTAAGTGTAAGCCTATTTTTGAATTTAATTTACTTTAATTTATGTTTGATAACATTAAACTTTTTAAGTGGTATTAGGGACTTTGGTTGATTGTGTTATATAAATGTTCATGATCAGATTCCCTTAGTAGTTGATCATTATCAGCCAATCAGGTTTAGTTCTCTTCTACCAATTGGTGAGAGTGGGAAAATTCATCCCTGTTTGCATTGGATGTCTTTCTCATCTGTATAACTCACTTTTGAATAGTTTAAGGCTCTCCCTGCTCCTTGCATTTGTTACTTAGGTTACAAATGTAGCTGTTTTTTTTATCAGGGTCCTGGTACTAAGATGCATTAGAGAATCATTTGTAGTATAAGTGTAGGACTCTTAAGGTGTACTAAGGAATCATTGGTAATGTAAGTGTAGGATTGATTAGCTAACATTAGAGATGACAACATTATTCCTACAGATACCCAAAACATCTAATCTGGTTAAGAAGTCATGACTTAAGAAACACATTAGGGTCTAAACTAATACTTTGTAATTTGTACTTGAAACATATTGACAAAAACAACAACCTTATGATTTATCAGTGTTAAATAAATTATAACTTAACATAAAGGTTAAGTAGTTTGAGGGTTAATTTATTGTACTTCTGAAAAGAAGAAACAAAAATGTAAGTCTGAAGTGTTGGGAGCCTAAGTGACTTGTAAAAAACACAACTTTATTACACAGTTTTATGCTTCATTTGTAATTTATCATTTATGGAAGCATTTGTAGTTCTTTGATATTTTTGTTTTAATTTTTTTTGTATTTTATGCATTAGTTTGAAAATTCTCATTTTGTGTTATGATATCTTTTCAGGCAGTAAACTCTGCTGTTTCAGAGGAGGTAATCTTCTTCTTGTTATTAATTTTTCTTAAATGCAAAAGATAAATAAAAAACAAAGATAACTATCAGGTAAAAATATATTTTTTTTGTGAGGATTAAAAATTTGAAAACACTAATTTTATATAGACATTGCATGCTGCCATTCTACGTAATGTTCTAAAAATCAATTTGAACATGAGAAAGAGTTTAAAGACCTCATTTTAATCAAACTAAAATGAACAAGAAACCTGAACCTGTAGGCAAGTGATATGTGAAAAAATGGCCTCATATTTCATAATTGTTGATATGTCATTAACAAGAATATCTATACAAAGTTTCAACGACATCCATACAAAAATAGGCAAGAAAAGTGCTAAAAATGTAAACTTTCATATTTTATTATCTATTGTTTTAATTTAAGTGGCTATTGTTCGGGAAGAACAAAACTAAGGAAGGGGCAGTGTTACGACAGCAAAAGTCACGTGATGCTAGTAACACATGATGAGTTTCTAGAAGGATCGGGGAACATCACAAATAATCCAGTATTTGCTAGACGCCCTATATTTTAGTATATAAGCAGGCAAATAAAACGAGATAATTAATTGAATTGCAGACAGGCAGAGATAGAGATGGACAATTGTGTCAAGCGCGGTAGTTACCATAAGTAAAATGCGTGAATTGTTGTGAATTATAGCGTGTGTTTAAGTTAAAGTGACTGTGGAAAATTTAGTGTATTGCAAAGTTGTATTGAGAAAGAATAAACTAGTTTTATTTAAGAAAGGACTTGTATTGCTGAAGTTTTTCGGAAAGAATTTCTATGGAAAATTAACCAACAAACACAGAGACGTAACAATATGTTAAAAAGTTTAAAAGATTTACTATCATGTGATTTTTGTTTCTTAATAAACACTTAGTTCTCTTAAGTTTTGAATACTTTTATTTTTACTAGTTTCATATAGGCTAAGATAAACCACTTAAATTCTTTCAGTTGAAAAAAGGTCCACAAACTTTTGATAATAAGATTCTTTCCATTCTGTAATGCTAGATTTGCCCCTGCTTGAATGTGCAGTTTGAATATCCAATATACCATCACATACTATATGCATGCAAAACTATATATATTGCAAATTTCAAACTGATATAAAATAAATCAGTGTTTTATTGAATAGATCTGTTTAGTTCTAATATGCTGTCTCAATTTTGTTTATTAATTTCACGATTTAAATAAATATTTTGGAAGTTTAATGCTGTTATATTTGGCTTGCATTTAAATGAATGGCTTTTGTGTTGAACGATTGGAAAAACTTTTTTTATACATTGTAGGATTATATAAGAAAACAACATTAGAACATCTAGTGTTCTGAAGTGTATTAATACCTATTGTACAATTATACTACTTCAAATGATACTTGTGTTTTAGACTGGTATTCTCTGTTTTCTAAAATTATGTAAGGTGATTTTTTAATTTTGGAATTTCAGTTTCAGTTAATTTTCATCCTAACTAGGTATTAGCTAGAAGTAAGTCAGTCTTAGCTGTTGGAAATGACACTCTAACACTTCAACGATTGTTTTTGTATGCTGGAACTTTTGTTCATCATTGTGTACATCATACCTCATTAAACTTTATGATTGGTCAGGTCTATAAAGACCTTCTCCACAACAGTGTACTTTGGTTCGTAGAGGGTAGGTATTGTGACTACAAGCTGATTTGTTTTTTGTTACACCTGTACCATGTGGCAGTATAACATTTTATGGCATTTAAATTGTTTAAGCAAGAATGTGGTCAAATAAAAAAAAGTTATGTTTAATAAAAATTATTATACTCTTTTATAATTCAATTTATATGAGCGGTGTTATAATTGTTCATTTGTATTACAAGCATGATACCATATAAGCTGTATAACTGTTCAATCAAGGCAGTGGTACTGTACTTGTACATTCACACTCAGATATTATTGTATCTAATTCGAAATACTGACAGGTCCGTCTGCAGGGTAGTGCGACGGGTGTGAATGCACCCCCACTGAAGTCACCCCCCCCCCCATTTTCTTGGGTTGCACACCCCTCCTTAATAACGTAAATTAATATATGTACATGCATTGTTAACACCCATTAAATACAGCAATCTCTGACTCAAGAAGTAAACTTTGTAATATGTATAACAAGTTAGATTACTGTACTTTATAAAATTCATTTGTAAGGATGCACATAATTGGTTGACTGTCACACAGTGATAGCGATACCACAGCCTAAAATTTTCATTGAAGAGTATACAAGATGTAAGGATAATTTAAAAAACATGCCATTGGAAGACCTTCATGAAACTTTTGTCAAAAGTATTAAAAGCTGTGATAAAATGTTCTTCCTCCAGATTTTCATACAGTTGAAAATTGGTTGTATCCTGCCTGTCATCTCTTGTGAGTGCAAAAGAGGGGCTAGCACCCTTAGGAGATTGAATACATACAGTAGGGTTAGCATGACATGTGAAAGGCTTTCAAAACTTGGCTTAATCCATACACATTATAGTCAATCTGTGGACATAAATGAAATTGTAACTCGATTTGACAATTTAAATCCACGCAGGATTGAGATGGACAATCTACTTTCATGAAATGAATTTGTCAAGGTCACAGAAAATAAAATCAATAACTTAATTAAATGTACAGAATTTATAAACACAAAATTAAAATTCAACAAAGTCTCTTAATTTTAGGGGACGTATCTTCTTCCATACTGGTCTCTGTTTCGTTGGCTTCTGCTTCACGTGGGATTCATTTGCTCTATCCAGAAATGTCCTATTATCAGTAATAGTCACAACAGTGGTAGTAACTTCATGAAGGGCTTCACTGTTTCTCTTCTCATAACCGAGTAGAGTTTCTTCTTCGACAGTGGCAATTCCAGGTGACATGTCTTCAGTGGCGTCTTTTGTTCCATTGTTCACTTCATCCCAGCTGAAATGTTCTGGACCGTGATAATGCCAAAGCCTGTTGGCCTGCGCCACCTTTGTCGTACCTCGCCGACCACATTTCATTCGGAAAGTCACGTCTGAGAGACGATCCACTATATCATATGAGCCTTCACATGGAGAAGACAACTCAGGAGATTTCCCTTTGGTCTTCCTGGGATTATGCAACCACACCTTGTCTCCTGGTACAAAGCTGACTTCAGTAGATCTCTTATAATAACTTCTTATCATAACACACTTGATGGTGAATATCATCCATCCTTTCAGATAACACTTTCACGGACTCTGGCACATTTAGTGGCAACTCTTCATAAGGTGGGCGTCCTGTTATCAGGTACAGTGGCAACTGAAGTTCCAAACCAACATCAGCTTTGCTGGAGTGTATCCAGTGGCTTCATGCTCTGCTGTTCTATAGGTCATCAAAAGTGGAGGAGTAAGAC